AATATTTATAATTATTTTTGTAAAATAATAGAAACTTATAACAACAAAATAAATTAAATTAAAGAATATGTGAATATGTACGCGAGTAATAAGTGCAAATTAAACAATTAATGGAAAAATATTGTTTTAGTAAAGATAAATATGGACACATGAAACTACAACCCCTTGTAATAGGGAAGTAATTCCCATTAGACAATAAACTTTTTCTGATTCTGATTATAAAACACATCAAAATCATACAACAATAGTTGAAAACAAAAAAAAATTAAATGTTAATATTTGAAATTGAATGATTTGAAAATGTGTATTTTTAATGTGTAAATAATGATTCTTTTATTAATAAAAATCATTAGTTCATCAAATCATTCAAAGCATTTCAGTTTTAAATGCTAAAAGGGCTATTTACAGTCTTATCTATAAATCTTATCTTATTGTCTTATCTCCTAAGACAATAAGTCTTAGGAGCCTAACTTCCTGTCTTTCCTATTATGAAGTTTTCACACAATGTATTTTATATTATATTTACATTATAATTATAAATACATAACATTAGATGGCATTTGCACATCCAAGCCTGTTATGTTGTAAAAATATAACAAACATTTTAAATTTTCTAATCTGATCTAGGGCATGCTCTTTCATCAGTCTTAGATAACAGAATTTAAACCTAAGGTTTATTTAAAGATCAATTAATTTCTATTAAAACTTTACATAAAGTTATTTTATTTATAAATAATAAGCACTTCAAACTGTCTTGGCATAAAACAAACAAATATTCTGCCCTGGCTCCTCTTTGCTGCTCATTTTGCCTTCAGATGTAACATTGAATACTTCTTGTAAAAGTTTCAATAGTTTCTAATCATAAATCTAAATTGAGTTTTTTATGCTGACATAATTAACATATGATAACTAGAAGCAAGATTACAAACATGCATACAGTATGAAGCAAAACCAATATGGATGCCAAACTCCCAGTGTGTTGTTATTTGTGCATGCGTAACAACAATGATGCATTGACATTAATAAAGAATCAAATACAATTGATTCCACAATTTTATAAAATAAACTTCTAATGCAAAACTTTTCTTACATTTATACTGGTATGTTACACACAAAGTTATAATGGACCTTTTTATAATGTAAAGTACAGTACATTGTGTGCAAACTCTGTATTGTGTGTTTTATTCCAAGACTTTTGTTTGTCATGTAAGGATAATTACATGTAAATCTTTTAATGCTCAAATATCTGTTTAGCTATCATATATGTGGTCATATTTTACTGATGCAGTTTATGTTCATATTATTTACCTCACTTCTTTAGTTGGTCATATGAATTTACTGAGTATCTGATTAAGTTTGTCATGTTTGAACATTTTAAGAGCTGCTTAGCATATAATCCTTGCCTATTACAAGTAATTCTATTCATTGAATGAAGTATTTATTATAATTTGATTTTTTCCTTTAAAACAGTATTTCATCATTACTTTTAATTATTTCTCTAATCTTTATTTGTTTTATTTTTTAATATTCCATTGAAAATTTACATATTTAATTGAAAAATCTTTGAATCTTTTTTTCTTTTTGAATTTTTACTAATCAATATCAATCAATTTTCATAATCATAATCAGTTTTTACTAATCATATTATGAGCATTATATTTCATACTAGCTGGTACCCGCGACTTCGCCCGCGGAGGTTTTGCAAGCAAACCCCATTTATATTTAGTATTTCAACAACCATAGTAATTGTTATATAACACCTACTGCCAAGAAAGATGAGAATTACTGAGAATCAAACAAACAATTTTCAATTTGATCAATTTTCTGGAACGTTTACAATCGTTCTATAATCAAACCGATACGCAATAACAAATTCGAATTTAAAAAGGTTCGAACATTTGGTTAAAAAATCGAAATATATAAAACTATTTATAACAATGTCTGAAATGTTATTAATTTAATACACTTAAGTACTTAATGAAGACTAAACGTAACAAAAAATCGCATGTAAAATAGTACAGTAGAAGTCGTTCTTCCTGTTAAGCCTTAANCAGATAAAAACAAAAAATCGCATCAAAAATAGTACAGTAGAAGCCGTTTTTTCGGTTAAGACTTAATCCTCTCCCTCTCCCCCCTCCCCGCGGGGGAATTTCGAAAAATCCCTTTTTAGTGAGTGTTTTCATGACGTACCCTAACTGTGTACCAAATTTCACCTCTTTAGGTTCAGCAGTTTGCTCTGGGTGATGATGAATCAGTGAGCGAATGAGTCAGTTAGGACAAGCAATTTTATATATATAGATATATGTAAATATGAATTATTATATTACATTGAATATTTACATATTATTTTTATATTACAAAAACTAATTAAGATTACCAATAAATAAAGCCAGAGATTTCATCTGTATTTAGATATTGGTCTCTCTATAGATTTGAACAAGATTGTACAGTAGAACATCGTTTATTCGAAAGTCAATTATCTGAAACATCAATTATCCGAAAGAATTCCAGTCAGCAAATTTAAATTTTCACCAGTGCTGTGGCACTGCAATCTTTGGCTGTCTTGGGCTACTCAAATATTTTATGTTTTTGATACTAAATTAACTTCTGAAGTATAATTTTTTATTGTTTTTATATTTTTCAATATATTTATTTTGTTTGTACAAAATAAAAAAATAATCTTTAACGATACAATAGTCTTCGTTAGGCTTAACATCAATGAAAATTCAATGCGAAGCGACATGCAATGGAGAAAAATTTCAACATGGGATAGGTTAATATATTTTTTCCTGCATAATCGGTTATCCGAAATATCAATTTTCCGAACAACCCCAGTCCCCTATTGATTCGGATAAACGATGCTCTACTGTAATTATATTAAAAACTAATTAATTTTGTTAAAATAATGATAAATTTTGTTTGATAAAACTGATTATTTTCTTCTCTTGCATAATTAAAACCTAGAAATATTCTTTTTACTTCATGATAAGCTCATTTTTTGATGTTTAATAGAACATTAATTATTCCCTTTATTAGAAAATGATGATGACTCATCAGGACCAAAAGCAAAGCTTAACTGGAGAAATGACCCTCATCATATTCCAGTTTTCAATACAGAAGATGAACGACTTGCATTTGAAGAACGACTAAATGCTGTTGATTTAAGTTGTGTAGATCATCTTTATGTTTGGCATGAAGTAACACAAGATGTAGACATGAGTAAAATGGGTAAAATGACTGGAAGGGAAACAAATGAATTACTTGTATTTTCATGTAATATATGTAAAAAGGTAATCATAATTTGTACAATTATCATCATTTTTTAGTTAATATAATTAAAAAAATATTTATATTTATAGGTTTTCAAATCTCTATCCCACATGAGGCTTCATTGCATTATTCATACAGATTTAAAACCATTTGAGTGTCCTCAATGTCCATTTCGTTCAAATGCAAAAGGAAATCTCTACACACACATGAGAAAGCACACTGGTAATTATTTTAAGTGTTCACAATGTAATTTTCAGAGTTTGAACAGGAGTCATTTGGCTGAACATGAGGTAATTGAAATAATTTTATAAAATTTGATTATACAAATATTTAAATAATGTAAGTTTTGTATTTTTTTAGGCTACTCATAGTAATAGACGTCATCAGTGTAAATTATGTCATAATTATTATAATACTGTCAAATCATTAATGAATCATGTGAGGAAATATCATACAAATTCTCATGGTAGACAATACTTATCCACATTTCTTGTAAAACCTCAAAACCTTATGGCATTACTTCATATTTGTCATATATGTAATCGAAAATTCAAGAAAAAAATTGATCGTGATCGACATCTGTTTATTCACAATATTAGAGATAGCCCAAATATTTTTCACTGTAATCTTTGTGATTACACAGCATGTCGGAGATCATATTTGGAAAATCACCATAGAAGACATCGTTTAGTTTTTGTATGCTGTTTATGTAAAAGTATGTTTATCAGTACAATTGTCTTAAAAAATCATCTTCAAGATCACATTAATAAAAAGTCTGTGAATCTTCAATCAACTAATGAATCATCAGAAAATATAGAAGATTGTAATTTAGCAACTAATAGTGATGATAAAATTTCAGAAAATGAAACTCAGAATATTGAAAATAAAATTCAAATTGAATCATTTTCACCACTTAAAACTGTATCTAAAGATAACAATATGGATTTATTAAAAAATGAATTACATTGTTTTCCTAAAGATTGTACAATAGATTCATTATTCAAAGATTCTTTAAATAATAGTTGGTATCTGCCAGAGCCAGATGGAACTGTTGCACTTAGCCAATATATAAATCTTCCCGAGGAATTAAGAGAAAATCAAGATCAGAATGAGTCATCTGTTGAAAATATAAATAATCAGTCATCATCTGTGGATGTAATTATAACATGTTTTGTTTATTACATAAGCAGTATATTTAATTTTTGCATTAATATATATAATTTTTTTTATAGGAAACAAGTCAATCTACCCTGACTAACTATAGTCCAATTGTTTCTTTAAATTATAAATCTTTAACAGTTGAATTATATAAAAAAATACAAGAGACTTTTGGAACTGTTGAATGTGAATATTGTGGTAGACTCTTTCATACATATATTGACTTGGAACCTCATTTAATGACACATTCAGAAAATAAGCCTTATAAATGTGATAAATGTCCTTATACTGCTGCTTCAAAAGTAAGTGTAACAAATAGCTTAAATAAGTATTACAATTTCAGCAATTTTTTAAATTACAGTTTAATATTCTGTTAATATTTGATAAAATGTATTATTTTAAATTTCATAGTAACTACATCAAACAAAAAATTATCCAATTATAATTTTAACAGTGTAATTATATCTCTTGGGTAATAATAGTTTAAATACTCACACTGAACAACACTGGGGTGAATTAAAGTATATTTCTAAAGCCTGTTACCAGTGTGCAACTCAAATAAAACAAAAAGTACAAAAAAAACAGCTCTTCACAAAAAAAGGTTGGGCTGGTTCGAAAATATTTGTGAAGAGTTGTTTTTTTTGTTCTTTTCGTTTTATTTGAGTTGCACACAGTAACAAGCTTCAGAGACATACTTTCATAATAGTTTAGTTTATTTGTGTTACAGTTTTGAATACATTGTGATATAATGAATTTTTTCAGAAATTTATTAGGCATAAAAGGCACAAAATTATGGGAGGATGAGGGGCGGAGAGTTATGGGAAATTATGGTAGGATAAGGCACAAAATTATGGAAATGGCATTAGCTTAGAGATAATTAATTCTAATGTACAATTTTATTATTCAAAGTTATTTAATTTTTAGTGTAAACTACCAATAAAAAACTGTAAATTGGTAGTTGATAAGGTATGTATAAAACAGCATTTATCCAAATATTGGTTTTAACTAAATACAAATAATTTTTGTTGAATTTTCTTGGCTAGTAAATAAATTTAATGTTAATTAGACTAATAAGTTCATTAAAGATCCAAAAAAGTTAGTTACAAATAAGGTTAATTATGTTGTTGTAGCAATATAATGTTAAATATTAAATAATTTATTGAATTTGTAATTTAAAAGCCAGAAAAACATCTGAAATGAATTTAAATGTACAACTCATTTATTTAATATGTGAGCATATTGTCAGTTGTGAAATTATGTCAATAATATAAATATTATCTAAGATCATGCATATCTAAAAAGATTTTGACATTACAATATCTAACTAAAGTATATGGTTTCTGCTAAATAATGAATTTGATACTCTTAATAATCAATGTACTTAATAATCAAGACAGTTTGACAAAAAATTACCAGTATTATTTTTAACAAATTAAATTTCAATGACTATTATTTTAATAAATTTATTAAATACAAAGAAAATAAGCTGTGATAAGATAATATGCAATTGATTAAAAATATCTTGAAAGAAACACAAAATTAAAATAATTTTTTAAATATTTTATTTGATAAACTATGCTTACTAACTGAAACTATTGATGGCTTATAAATCATTAAGTTCGATGTCTTTTTACAGGGTATTACAAATAAACTGAACTAGTCTCATAACTCAGGAATGATTAAAGGTGGAAGGATCAGACTAATTATGGCCAAACGAGACAAGGGAACTATTGGGTTGTTCAGAAAGTAATTTCGTTTTTTTACCACTAGACAGATTAGTCTTATTTTTCCTGCCATTTTCATTCTAAACCATATCATTATATATTTTGACAGCTAGCATTTTAAGGCTTATTTGTAAAAAATTTTGTTTGATTTTGTGCAATTATTTATTTTTTTGTGTCCCATCAAATATGGAAGATCGAAAGCAGCATTTTCGGCATATTTTGCTCTTTTATTATCAAAAAGGTAAGAATGCTGTTCAAGTGAGAAAAAAATTGTGTGACATGTATGGAGAAGATGTATTGACAGAACAACAGTGCCAAAACTGGTTTACAAAATTTCGTTCTGGCAATTTCAATATTAAAGATGCACCACATTCTGGATGGCCAGTTGAAGCCAATGAAAACAAAATAAAGGTACTGATTGAAGCAAACATGTGAAATCACTAAGAGATTAAATTTGTCAAATTGAACTGTCTATGATTACTTGAAACAAATTGGTTTTGTTTCAAAGCTTGATATATGAGTTCCACATGTTCTTAAAGAGAGATGCTCTTTTTGTGGGATTTTAAGGAAATTTTTTTTTGGAGCTTTTACCAGACAATTTAACAATTGATTCAAAAGTATACTGCCATCGAGTAAACAAATTGAGTAATATCATCAAACAGAAAAGGCGCCAGAATTGATCAACAAAACAGGTGTAGTGTTTTACCATGATAATGTCAAATTTCACACAACTTTGGTAACTCATCAGAAACTGTTATAACTTAGATGGGAAGTGCTATCACACCAACCATATTTGCCAGATGGAGCACACTCAAATTATTACTTGTTCTGGTCTATACAAATTTTTTTTGACTATAAGACATTTACTTGAAATGACAATGTCAAAAATCATTTGGATCAGTTTTTTGTAAGCAACGATCAAAACTTTTATGTATGTGAAATCATGCTACTACCAGAAACAATGACAACAGATATTTGACCAAAATGGTCAATATATAATTCAATAAAATATTTATTATAAAAATATTGTTTTTTTTTCCATGGAAAAAAAACGAAATTACTTTCTGAACAACCCAATATATATGTCCAAAAGTTGGTGAGTGTATGTCTTGTAGACCCTGGGTAATGGGGTCATATAGGAGAGTTATATACTCACCAAGTTCAGTGGTATGTGGGGTCACATATAATACCATCAAAAAGGATGTGAAAATTTAAACAATGTTTACTTTGGAGTAATTTTTGATAACTTGCTTCATTGTCAAGTAATGTAAACATAAACATTGCATGTTTATGTTTACATTACTTGGTTATGTATTGTTTGGTTATGTATTAATATATATATTGGGATTCAGGATATTTGATATACATAAATATGCAAGTCAGAAACACAGGCAGGCAAGCATGTAAACATGCAAATGTCATTATCATCTGTGTTTAGAGCTCTGTGTTGTTAAAGTTGATTGTAATAAATGACTGCAGTATGGTCAACTTTAACAGCAAAGAGCTGTAAGCACATTTGCTAAAGGCAGTTGTGCCTGTTCACATGCTTGCCTTGCCTGCCTTTCTGACTTACATGAACTCTGAGAAACACTCTAAATGACTTCATAACTTGGAGGTCTCCATGTGTTGGTGACGTCCAAGTTATGAGATCATTTAGAGTGTCCAAAAGTTAACAAGCTTATTGCACCTTGTTTGGCATAATTCTATTTTTAATCATTTTCAAGTTATGGGACTGGATCATTTTATTTAACACCATGTATATATAATGTCAGAATTCAAGTCACGTTTGTGTGTAAATATTTAATAAATTCATACAGCAATAAATATTCATTATGCATTTCAATTATTTAAATATAAATACTGTATGTATTTTTTGGCATTTATTAGAAATTATTTATTTTACATAAGTTATATATTACAATCTTAAATTAATCTCCATATGAACTTTATAAGTTAAAGTAACAAACTATTTTTCAAGAACCAACTCAAGGAAACTTCTCAGGTTGGCCTCCAAAAAGTAGTTTGTTACTTTAACACATTTTTTCCAGAATTTTTAATGTATTTTCCATTTTCATTTTTAATTTTTATCTTTTCTCATTAAATAACAAAGTTAATTTAATGACATATTTTTTTTCATTATTAGGAAAATCTTAAAAGGCATCAAGAAAGCATACATGAAGGTCGTAAATTTTCTTGTGATAAATGTGATTTTGTTGCCTCTTCAAGAACCACTTATTGGCATCATCGGCAAAAACATTTAATAACAGCTCAATGTAATATATGTAATAAACAATTTCCCACAACTCGGATTTTAAAAAATCATGTTTTGTGTAAACATCCAGAAATAGATCAAACAGAACTCCAAAAAGTAAATTAAATAAATATATTTTTTTAAATGCTTTGAAATATAAATTGTTGTAATTGAAAAACAATTTCAGTTATTAGGCAATAATCATCGTGTAATTGGACGAATTGGTCGATGTTCTTATAAATGTCCCTACTGCAGTCGTGTATTCCATCGTTCGAGTGCCGATCTTCAAAAACATATTTGGATCCACGAAGGCATCAAACCTTTTAAATGTTCTGAATGCTCTCATACTTGCCGCAGTAGAAATAATCTAAAGATTCACATGTTACGACACTCAAATGATAAACCTCATCTGTGTGAAGAATGTGGAAAATCCTACAAGTCAAAAACAGCTTTGCGATGTCATGTTAAGTAAGTACATATAATAATCATTGGTTTACTTACATATTTATAGAATTTTATTTTTAAGTTAAAAAATATATATATAATAATAATATTGCATTATATTTTCAGATCCCATTTTGTAGATGGAATGTTTCAATGTGATCAATGTGATTATACTGTCAATCAAAAATCTCATTTGAAAAAACATATGGAGAGCCATCAGTTATCAAGACGTTATGTCTGTGAACACTGTGATTATTCTTCAAATGGTGTGGGATATATGAGAGTGAGAAATCTTTTATTTAAAATTATTATTTTTATTACTGAAATTTTCTTATATATGTATGTTATTTCAGGTTCATTACAATCGTAAACATAAAGGTGAAACTTTTATTGAAAAACTAGATTCTTCAGTATCAATAACTGTAGAATCAAGTGAACAAGTTTATAAATGTTTGAGTTGTAAAAGTGTATTTGAGAATATGATTCAAACTAAACAACATCTTAAGGTAATTTTTAAAAAAGCTATTTAGATAATGATTTTAAGATATTTCTTTTATTTAAATATTATTTCATAAAGGTAAAAATTATTAGTGTATTTATATACTAAAAACTATATTATCAATAAGCAAACAAAAGTTTGTTTATAGACAATTCAGAAAACATTTCTACAATCAAGTCCCCATAGGCATTGAGGCACTTATCCCACAGTGACACTAATGAACTGTTTCTTCCTGGAAGAATTATTTTGGTTCTGTTTACAACATTCTTGAGTATTGCCTGTGACTTCTGCATCTGATTGACACTTACAATTTTTCAATGTTTTCTTTCAATGGATTCAAAATTTCAAAAGTTGCAAGATGACTTTTGAAATTGCAAGAAGATTTTTGAGTTGGCTTATACAATATACAATATATTACACAGGTCAGGGCTATATGAGAAAGCAGAACCATCTAGATTGCTATAGATTCTATATTGTTATCTTTGACTCCCACAACATGAATTATGGCATTGTACAATATGATTTCAGATGTGATTTTATTATTTTATTGGAATACTTGTTTTTGATTTCAGTATGCAACTGATCCAATAATGCATTTGTAGTAGTTAGTAGTGACAGAATTGTTAGTCAGTTTAAAGTTTAACAGCAAAAGTGCTTTATAGTTAAAAACACTGTCACCATAACTTTGCTGGTAAAAAAGTTGCTTTCTTCCACGATGTTGTGTGGTGCCACTGCATTATCATCACTCTGATCTGATTCATAATGTTGACACTAGGGTTTCTCAACCGGGATCCCGGTTGTTTTTTTAACCCGGGAAATATCCCGGGAAATTTTTCTTATCCCGGGAAATCCCGCAAATTTCTTAAAAATTCACTTTTTTTCTTATTTTGTGTTAAGGTTAAGGAATTTTGCAAATAGAAAACATAATTAACTCATTCACTGTCAGAATACATTTGTATTTATTAATTTTAAACCTACCTATTAGTTTTTTTTAATTTTTGCTCGTTATAACATGTCACAAATGTTTAATAATCAATATATAGCTTACTTGTGGCAGGACTATAAAAATTCTTTACTTGTCGGAACCTGTAATATCTGGAATAATTGTGCTTACGCTGTCTTGAGTTTTAACCATGCCCAGTAGCTTCAATAAATGCCTGACGCCAGATTGTGCAAATTGGGCAAGGATACAAACGAGTACAAAGTCTGCAAGTATGAAGTTTTTCTTCATAAACCTGATTATTAAAGCCAAATGAATTGCCGAATTATCGAGCTCTAAGCTTGATGCCGCTATTAAAGCAGCCAAGGTAGACAAATCAAGAATACTAGAGAGCGAAAGAAGTACTACAATCTCGAAAACGAACTCGAAATCTTCCAGGCTACAGGTGAAAAAACACATAATATCTGTCTTCTCTTAAATGCATTAAACACTATTCCAATCACATCAATTGAATCGGAAAGGGCATTCTCGGTGGCAAGACTTTTCATTACTAAAATAAGAATTAGAGTGAGTTATCGGAGTATTGACCATCTTTGCTTTTTAAAATCTTATAAAAGTTTGCAATATTTTGTATTATATTTTATTTAAAAAACGAAAATTACCTTCTAAATTAGAAGTTCATTTTTTTTATTTTTTACTCAATTCAAAACATTTTTTTTTGTTGTTGTTGTATGCAGTTTCCAGCAAACTTTAATTAATTTTTTTCTATTTGTGAAAATTTCTACGTTATTTAAAGGTAATTTTTATTATAGGCCTATAGACCTTACACAGCATTATTAATATGATTTTGGAGGTTACAGAACTTTAAAATTACTTTAAAAAATGGAAAATAATTATATCATTTGATTTCAAGATATTTTGTATACCTTAAAAATAATTAATTCTATCCCGGGATTTCCCGGGATCCCGGGAAACAGTTCACTTTTATCCCGGAATCCCGGGACAAGCAAAAGACCGGGAAATGAGAAACCCTAGTTGACACCAGCTTTTGTTTCCCACAATGATCTAGACCAGAAAGTCATCTTTTGACATTTTTTGAAATATCTTTTTTTGATATAAATTATTATATCATTCAATACGAAGCTAAAATTAGCAATATTTGCTGAATATAATCAGTCACTTTTATTTATAAAAATATATCATTCAAATGCAACTTGTCTTTGTTTGTTTTTCCTTTGCTTCTTAAAACATGACTTTAGTTTTTAAATAAGACTTTCTAACATTTTATCATCAAGTCATATTAAAAATGTTTCCTTTTTAAAATTTCCATACTTTTATTCATTCTCTAAATTTTCATTTCTCTTCACAAAAAGTCTTTATTCATTACTGTTATAATCTCTGTAACCAGTCTGTTTTTAAAATTGTGACATTAAATAAACCTTCAGTAATAAAGGGCTAATTATATGGATCTTTGTCTCAAAATTGAATATTTATACAAAGAGAAGTATTCATTTCATTTGAACAAATTAAATTTTATATGCAACTAAATTTTTTGTCTTTAAAACTTATGAATTATTCACAAATTATTCTTGAAGATCTTAAAAATTAATTTATTAAAATAATTATTGATAAGAGCAATCTATTTAGATTTTGAAAATAGTTATGAAAAATTTATTCATGCTCGTCATTTCAAATAGTTTTTGAAATACAGTAGAGTGTCGTTTATCCAAATCAATTGGGGACTGGGGTTGTTTGGATAACTTATTTTTCGGATAATCGATTATGTATGAGAAAATATATTATCTTATCCCATGTTGAAATTTTTCTCTGTTGTGTGTCGCTTCGCTTTGAATTTTCGTCAATGTTAAGTCTAACGTAAACTTTTTAAAATAATAATCGTGGCTATTGTATCATTAAAAATTATTTATTTATTTTTTACAAACGAAATAAATATATTGAAAAATATAAAAACCAAAAAATATATACTTTAGAAGTTGATCTAGTATCAAAAACATTCGATTCAGCGCACACACAGTCCTTAGAAAAACACCACACAAAAATGCCAGGGTTGCCAGCTAAAACACACACACCAACAAAAAAAATATTGGAGTAGCCCAAGATATAGCCAAAGATCCCTAAAAATATTGAGAAGCACTACATCGGGAATTCTTCAAGTCGAGGTCTCTTTTGATGAGGAAAAAGAAAGTAGTTTAAAGTTGATTGTCTTACTCTTTTAATCAAAATTTTTCTAAAATGTGATATCACATTGTTGTTCATTAAATTAATGGTCTTATTAGTCACAACTTTGTTAGGATGGTGCTTCTTGATGAATTCCTGCATATCATTCCATTTTCTGCAAATTTCCTTGATCTCAGCTCTGGTGATTTCTTCCCTGACATTCTCTTCCCTTCCTCTGATGAATACTCTTCTTGTAAGACTTTCATCTGTTCTTCCTGCAAGACAACCAGCTTTTCTGTGGTTAGTTCATTTTGATGGTCCTTCATCAACTCCTCCACATCTCCATCATCGACCTCTATTCACAAACTCTTGCCAATAGACACAATTTCATGCACTACATCAGGAGAGCTCCCTACTTCAAATCCCTCAAAGTTTTGCTCTGGGACACAAGTTGACCAAAGTTTCCTTCAGACTAACATGGTTAGATCTTTGTTTTGATATCACAGTCACTCTTTTAGCCACTTTTGTCTCCTTAAATGCTTCTTTGTTTTTAATAATTGTAGAGATAGTTGATTTTGCCACATTATATTCTTTAGCAATGTCAGAAACACTAATGCAATTCTTGTGTTTTGCAATAATTTCTTTCTTTAATGCTACACTAAAACATTTTCTATTGCCACTGTCACTATTCTCTTTCTTGGGTGCCGTATTGATTAAATATATAAATTATAAAGTGAAAAAAGAAGTTTAGCACAAACACTCTGAAAAGCAATGTTTACCTTGCACATACATAACAACAACTAAAATTTGTCACAAAAAACTGTTGTGTTTATTATCCAAATTTCATTTGTTATCTGTGAAAAAATTTTTAAAAGTTTGTTAACCGATTTGGTCATTAACTAGGGCATTCATTAACAGAAGTCCCACTGTATTCAGTTTTAGATATTTTATAATAAACTGTTTATTATAGTATTCAAGATTAGTTATTTACTATAATAGTTGTTAGATTATTGAATACTTATGATTTACATGGCTATAACTTTTATAACTTAATGTCATTATAGAAATTTTTATTTATTTACTGATTTAAAAAAATATTTTTATATTATAAAGGATAAACACGGTATATCAGCAGATAAATTAGATTCTACTTTACAAGAATCTGCAACTGATTCAGCAGGGGGAATTATTACAGATGAAAATACAAGATTTGAGACAGATACAGTCATGATGGACAGTATACAAGAACCTATTGAAATGATAGAATTACAAGATAATAATATTGCTAATTCTGTAATATCCACAACACTTCAAGTAAGTTTTAATTTAAAATACTAACATGTGTAAATATATATATAAAAGAAGTAATAACTTTTATTTCTAAAATAGGGAGTGCAGCTAGCAAATTTAACTGAAGGTGAGATGGATGAAAAAACTGTCAGTGCTGTCAATCTCATTCAACAAATTATTGAACAGGGAGCTTTAGAATCACAAGTTACTCTTCATTCTGTTGATGGACAGTCTCTTGTTGCTGTAAATCCTGGAACAATTATAGTTCAAGATGGACAGGAACTTGTTTTAAATGGAACTAATTTAGACGAACAGTACGTTATTCAGTATGTGACTGATTCTGCAACAACGTCTACCGATGCAGAAATTCACATTCAATCTTGTGAAGAAGTGCAAATGTATAAAGATTTTGATAATCAAATTGAAGTTCAATATTCAAATACAGAAGAAGAGCAAAATATTATACAAGGAAATACGTAATTTAAAAAACTATTTATTAATGTTTCTAGAGAAAAAATAAGCTAAAAGTTGTTACTGTACTTAAAATAAATGTATTTAGTTTGTATAGTTTTGTAAATACATTGAGAATTTTGACTTATTTAATTGAGGATAAAGATTATCCAATATATTCAATATTCACCATTGTGCACAAAGTGTGAATGTAAATTCCATTTCTACATTTTGTAATGTGATTATATGGAAATTCTGTAAATGATTTTATTGAATGTAAATTGTATATTAGAGAATCATAAAATATATCAGTTATAATTATATATTTTTGTACTTTATTATATTGAAAATGAGTTATATACGTTCAATTTTGTTAAATGATATACAAATTACACGTATACCTCGCCTTATGTCGGTAATTGGTTCCAGGAGAGGCGATGTAAGTCGAATTTACTTGTCTCCGAATCTACTTGTCACTAGGCTAAACCATAAATTATCATTCCCGATTCTGTATTTTATTTATTAATGCATTTTTAATAATATATGGTTAATAAAGATCTATTTTAAGCTTACAAACAAATAAATTTTAGTTTTTAATATAGTACAGAAAAAATAATCTAAATTTACAAATTTACATATATACATTTATAATTTACAAGTATGTACTGTAAATACAGTACATACTTGTAAATTATAAATGTATATATGTAAATTTGTAAATTTAGATTATTTTTTCTGTACTATATTAAAAACTAAAATTTATTTGTTTGTAAGCTTAAAATNTTTTATTTTTTCATATACATCTGGTTTATTAATGTAATATTAAAATTACATATTCAGGTACTGCAATAAGCGCAGCCTGATATTTTTTTCCATATACAGTACTTTTTTGACAAACGACGTAACTCGAAACGATGTAAGTCGAGGTATACCTGTATAGTGAATATATATAAAATTCTGAATTACATTAAAATAGTGGTACACTATAAACTGCTTGGCATAGAAAAAAACAGGTATGATGTTATTTCATTCTTTGTGATTTATATCTTCAATATCAGTCTAATTTTAATATTTTACTGAAAGTCTTATAATATTCCCTAATTTTTTTGTTTTTGAGTAGTTTAAGTTTTTCTTTATACATTAAATAGGAATCAAGGATGTAACTATTTTGAATATATTTCATTTTTATTTCTTTCCTTATCAAATATACTTATTGTTTCTTTTATTTAAAAAATATATTCAAAAATAAATTTTGTATGTAATAGTATAATATTATATACATTTATATAGACAGTATGATGTCTATAAAGAATTCATACTGTCTATAAAGAATTCATACAAAATATACTAGATGTCTATAAAGAATTCATACTAGTATATTTTGTATCTATTGTTGACATTTTATGTTTTATTTGTTGTAATTTTTTCAATATACAATATTCTATAAAACTGATTCTTTGAATCTGCAATACCACTATATATTTTTGGTGATAGTGGTATTGCAATACTGCAATACCACTATCACCATCACCAAAAATATTAGCTCTTCTCAAAGTTCAAATATTTTAGGAATGGTGTTTACTAATAACAAGAAATATAGAGATAGTATATATATATATATATATACTATCTCTATATTTCTTGTTATTAGTAAACACCATTATATATATATATATAAATGCATACTGTGCTCAATAAAAAAAAATCACTTTTAAATTAATATTTTTCCATCTCAAAATCCAAATAATGCAACTTGCTTATATTTCCAAAAAGACAACAATTTTGTTCTCAAGTGATCTCAGAAACAAATTTAGATTAAACAACGTACAAGTATCGCTATAAACAACTAGCGCTTTCGACGAAACTATTTTCGTCTTCTTCAGGCAGATGAAAACGGTTAATATCCTTTTATCGAATAATGATTTCGAACTACTCTAACGGCAAAACAGCTTTGGAATAAAACTAAAAATGGAACTAAATACAGAGAACTTGAATAATATGCGCGAGGTGCCAATGCGCATGTGCAAAAAAAATTTTGTTTTTTACATGAATGTGGAGCTAGTGACAATATCTTAATTTGTTATATAAACTGACCCACAAAGAAGGCACATCCAGCATTGGGGTGTTGCATGGATTTAGCATGTCGGTAAGGAGTGCCTCCCATAAATACACGAGGCTCCTGTTACCACACTGCTTGAGCATCACCAGTTGGTCCCACAACAGGGTGTATTGGTGTTGCAACACCATTCTTGCTAGCTCGGTGTCATACTTGCCTGCCCTGATAGACTGCTGGTATTCAAAAATACAGCAAGACAACATTCTGGATGTCGCTCCGACATACTGGGTATGAGTACCAGACGTTGTACATTCCAAAGGGATAGAATAAACTCCAGACCTCTCTAGCACGGAAAAAGCATCCCTGTCATTGCATAATACCCTTCTAAGGTTTGGTTGCAAAGAAACTGGTAGAAAGAGCGCACATTGCCTAAAAACATGGCAAATGCGGACAGTAATATGGCCACAGAATGGCAGGATGGACTATCGTATATTTTTTTGAGACCTGTAAAGTCGTGGCAGGAAAAAGAGATCTTTTAACCTTTCTTGGAATGTACATATACTTAGAGCTAGCATGCCCGCTGCACTTACTGCTGAGTGAATAGCTTTAAGCTCGATATTGACAGCAGCTTGATTGGAGGACAACAGAAACGCCCTTCTAATTAGAGGGGCAGTAGCCGTGTTGATGTAATGCTGCGGCTGGTATGCAGTGGCAGGGATTAAAGGAGGTATGCTGTTGAACTTATGAAACATGGAGAACAATATAGTACCCTGGAACTTGGTGATCTTTAGATCTAAAAATGCAATTTCTCCCTTCTTTTCCTTTTCTCAGGTAAACTTGATGGTAGAATAAACCTCCGTACGATAACTTTTGAGGACATGGAAATCCTCTTCCGTGTTTTGCCAAGCCATGATAATATTGTCCACGTATCTAAGATATAATAGTGGGTATGCTATTGTGAGGGGGAAGCTGAAAACCCTTTGCTCAACATGCTTCATGAACAACTCCGCCAATATAGCATAAAGTGGTGAGCCCATAGGGACCCCTTGTTTCTGCAGATATGCTTTCCCGTTGAACTGAAAGTAATTTTTTTCTGTGATAAAAAGCAGAGCCTCTCGAATTTCTAGGACTGGATGATAATTTTCTCGTTTCTTGCTTATCTATTGATCGGCGTAAGGTCCAATTTCTTTCACTTTTAACATATACTAGAAATTCTCCTGTGAAACATGATGGAATATTTTTTAATGAGAAAGTAGAGATTGAAGAATTGAGAAGAGCTTCAAGTTGAGCTTGACATTATGATGCTGTTTCAACAGCCTTTGACAAAGTCATTCTCACTTGATGTTGCTCAAGTTGGATTTCATGGCCTTCGGGAGTCTCAGTTGTTCTTATTCTTTTAGATCTAGAATTTACCTGACCAATTTTACTCTTACATTTTTCCCTAGGCATTTTTTTTGACAAAATAGCAAGACCTTTTTAATTCACATTGACCAAATAAAGATGAATTTTATGTACTGTACATTACATTAGATGAGCAATAACACTTTCTAAATAATGGACTCCTTAGATTGTTTTTTCTGAATCAATCATAAAACAACATGTGGTCACTATGGAAAGATTTTTAAAATTTATTATAGAAGTGACACAATGCAGCTATCGTTTTTAAAGTTTAAATTTAATGAAGGAAGTTTAAAATATGCCATTTGCCAAAATATTTAAAATGCAAACTTAAGGGAAATTTCTTTGTCAAGCATAAATGTCACAGCAATGAAAGTGTGATCACCGATTTGAAATCAATAAAATGTTTATTCTATAGCTAATATTTCTGCAAAATAAGTAGCCTATACTTTCTGTAAGAACATAAATGAATATAACCAAAATTTCTTCTGGATTGGACAAAAATTGCAGGAGTTATAAGGAATTCACATATACACACAGATGACAGTTTTTATACTAGTAATACCATGTATATAAAATTTAGAAAGGTGGTTAATTATTTAACAGCATATGTTCTATATTGTAAGTTACAATATTTTATATAAAGCAATTAAATGATACTTTCTAAATGAACTGTTGCTAAAATATGACTCTTCAAATTAATTTATATTTAGGTAAATATTTTTTTTCTCATTTTTTTAATTATTATTTAAGTTATAAAACACTAATTTTGATTCATACATTTGTTATATTTTTTTACTATTTCACTTATATGGAATATAAATTTTTAACTTTATATTGTGTGATATTATTTTAATGTAACATTAATTACCATTGAGATTTTTTGATAAAAAAAATAAACTGCTGAGATGGTCTTATTGATTGATTGATCATCAATGATCTATCAATCAATTAGATGATTGTTTAAGGAATTATTATGATAATCAATTATTACTTTTTTTTTATTTTGATGAATAGATACAATTCTTAGTTTATTATTTGTATACAAGAATAAATGTAATTTATAATTTTAGAAGTATTGAATGTATATAAAAGAAATGAAGAGAGAACAAATTTAAAACAGATTGCATCTAAACTATTTATTACAGCTGACACCAGTAATCATAGATACATATAATACCAACAAAATTATGCCCATAAGTGTAATGGTGATGACATCATAACAATAATTTGGTAACATAGTACAATATAATACACATTCATTCCAACTTGAATTGACTACACTATTTAATGCCACAAATCCACTTTAATTTGTTGAAATTTAGCAATATTTTGATACATTCAAACATTCATTCGTTAATTACAATACATTTCAAATATTTCACTTTTGAATCCAGTTTTGTACGAAATTTACTAGCGCTGTTTGACAGTGAAAAGGAACTGACACATCATCTTTGATATACAAAATAAATATAATATATATTTTTTGTGTAATCTGATGAAAACAGGCATTATCCAATAGATTTATTTGTATTATCAGATTCAAAAGAAGAAAAAAAGATTTTCATCTGTTTGTTGCAAAAGCTTTGAGGCACTTAGTCTATGTATCTGTTTACAGTGTGTAAAATAGGATGATCAGATTTTGATCAAAAGTATTGTCATAATCACAGTTATTTTTATCAAATTAAAATTATCTTTTGAATATGTAGATATGTATCTACATTTATTCAATAATATATATACAGCTTAATGGCAAACGCTGCTATAATTTTTGTAAAAAAGTAATTTACATAAAATATCATTACCTAAAATTGCCAGAATGTCAGAAAAATTCTGAAAATCAATAAGGTTAAGGATCATGATCAATAATTAAGAATCAATAGAAATAATAATTATTTTAGTTCAATTCTTTTTGCATAGTTTTATTATAATTTTTAGATATAATGTCATTCAAGGAGATTTATAGATTTATGCATTTAAAAATTAGATTTTTAAATATACACAATCATTAAATTTTTGAGTATCTATACTCAAGATTTTGTTAAATCAGAATTAGTATTTAATCATGATTAAAGAAAGTCATAGTTAATTAATTTAATAGAATTTCATTAATCGAGCTGGGTTTCCATTGGGTTATTAATGGCTAATGATACTGCCAGATTTATATTGGGCTTTATGGTTTAGTTTTATATATCATTAGATTTTCATAGTTACTTGGACAACTTTAAATTAATAATATGTTACAGAATTTCTTAATAGGCAACTCTATATTTTAATATATTTAAATAAAATAACAGTTTCACATTTATTATTATTTATGAACTTTGTACAGTACATTTGTTTAACACTTTTTATAAAAATCTGATCATTCTATTTTACTTATTATTATTAAACAATATTCATTTATACAAATGAATGATATACAATAGTAAAATTAAATAAGATTTAATATTAAATCCATCATAACATTGCATAAGCTGCAATGTATTTAGAGCAAAATTCTTTGCTAATTATGTACATTAAAATGAATAAATTAACAATAAAAAAACAATTATTTAGTCAATCAATCATCAAATTTTAACGAGACCAATTTTATCTAAAAAAATAATAATTGAGCTTCATAAATAATTTTACAATTTTATTACATAAGCATAAAATAAGGATGAGTCAAAATTGTTTGAAGCACTTTATGTCAAATTTGGTAATCAACATATTTTTTAAAATCATCAATAATCATCATCATTGGCTTAAAGTTTTATTATACTTATAGTAGGTATGGTTTGAATTTTGGAAAACAAAAGAAGTTTTCAATTGCTTAATAATTTCAATATATTTTTTATTTAAATTGGGTAAATTTAAAATCTAATCTTATTTATGATTTGCATAAAAATGCAAATTCTGGGTTAATTTAGTAAAGGTAACAGAATAATATAATTAAATTTGTAATGATCACAATTTATTTAACTGGTTAAGATTTAGAAAATTTCAGTAATGAATTTTATAGACTCGTTATGAAGTAGGCTTCAAATAAATTTGACTTGTCCTTTAATTTTCCATAAATTTAAAATAGTAAGTTAAACATTTTATTAAAAATCCTACTCCAAATTTAGCACTGATATATGACATAACAAGTATTTTAAAATTTTATCACTGGTGTATTGAACTATACATTTTCAGTTTTCAACAAAAATGCATTATTATATGAGACCGGACTGAAGGATTACTCATTATATAAGTTTCTACGTCAATCACGATCACATACACCATATAGGTTTATTGTGCTATGTTTGGAATAAGTCATTTTCAGACGCATTATTTACAATTTTAATTATAATAAATTATTTAAATGGACAATCAAATAAATATTTCTGACATACATAATTTTGGCTAGTTAAAAATCACATTAATTTGAGGTATACTTTTTTAAAATTTGAATGATAATATATTAAAAATTTTAAATGATTTATTGAAAGCAAATATGCATGTATTTACAGTATGAGAGGAATTGAGGGTTTCTAAAACTTATGACGACGACTCATATTTAAGTTGACCATCTCAAACCAAGGGTAGGTTAAATTATCGAATGCATATTGCATATTATTTGCAATATAAATAAATTAATTATTAGCAAAAAAATCAATCTTATACTATTTTTGTAATATTTGGATTTAATTTTATATTTTCAATCATATTTTAGTTTAGTACTCATTATGTTATACTTGGATATGGCAGTGAATCATTTGAGATCTAACTATCAACAATATGATCTGATTCATTAATGGATAAGAAGACACAGGATTATAATAAAAATTGCTAAATAATTATTATAAAGAATTATAAAATAATGTAAAAAGTATCCATTAATATTATATTATTGTTAATTAATAAAATAGATAGACTTTTAAAGCATTAATTGTTATTCTTGTTTAGAAAGATATTACAAAAAATGTATATTTTGTTTTAGTTTTGAATAGCTTTTATATTTATTGTAAAGTATTAATAACATAATTTAAGAACTGCTATTGACTCTATTCAATAAGTAACTTACTCTTGGTTTCTAGTCTAATTTTAATGTAATTATTTAACATATTACAGGTCCCAAAAAATGGCAATTTCAGGTTGTTTAAGACAAAAATTTTTAAATTAGTAATTAAACCAACAACAGAATCCATGACAACAGTCAGTTTTTGATGGCCAATTTATAAGTGAATCACATCATTCTATTTTTGTTTTAATTTATTTAAATTATTTTATCTGTTCCATAATTTCATTCATCACAAAATGTGCACTTGTGTTCAAAATTTTGTTACTAAGTTTTTATTTTTAATTATTTAAATTTTTTTTTGTATAATATTTGATATAATTTTATAATTTTTTTAAAATATATTTTTATTCCCAAAAATTAATCTTGAATATAAAGCTTAATAATATATTAAAAACAAATGTATTTTTTAATCTATAGTAGTACATATATAGGCAAATATGTTTACGTATTATTAAAATAATCTTATATATAAAATTTGCCTTCACCTAAAATATTTTCTAATTAAACTGATGTACATGTATATAGATTTATATGTACTGTATGTATATATATATATATATATTCAATTAAAGTATAATAGACAGGTTAATTCTGTAATTTTTATATATGACTCTTAAAATATTGCTTATATTTCATGACAAGATGAATAACATTTTCAAAAAATAAATATTCCTGCAATTTTTAAAAATTAAAATAGCATTAAATATAACTATATATAAGTTGAAATAATCATTAATGATATACATATATTCTCAAAAATAATAATTAGAATAATTGCATAATTATTATTTTTTCATTTATCATTCATTAACAATTCAGAGAATGTATTTTGACTATAATGTTTACTATCAATATTTAGCTTATCACATGGTGCTGATGATGCACTCCCAAATTTTTCTTGTAAAAATGCCTGTTAAAAATCTATTGCATTATGGCAGTGAATTGTCAAAATTTACAGAAGATATATTTAGCTAATAATATATACAAATTGTAATGATTTTTTAATTGTAATTTACATCTAAAATTAAAGAGCATATACAGCTTATCTACAACCATTAATATAATTTAANGCTGCTTTATATTTATAATATATATATATAATTTTTTTTTAAATTTTATTTAAAGATTATAACATGGTTAAATTAGTAATCTATAGAGTAAACGATGGATTTTTAATATAGATTTTTTTCCAAAGATGGAGTAATTACAAGGACGGTAAAAAGATGGGGTAGAAAAAATAATCTTTGATTAGACTGATGGAATAAGGATTTTTTCCAAAATTTATCAGTTTATTCAAATATTATTTTATCATATGTTTTTTTTTAGATATTAATTTTTTATGTTGGGGAAGATAAACTGGATTGGCATTAGCATTTTCGATTATTGTTTGCCCCTGAGTGATGACGCCAGTGATCTTTTCTACGGAGATTCTTATTACTATGATGATAATGATTTGTACGATTCTGCCGATCCAACTTAGACTGATGAAGGGATTTCTGTTCTATATAATGTCTTGCTTTCTGTCCATATTTTAAGTTTGCAATTTGCTCTATTAAATCTGTTAAATAAAGTAGGTATTTAGATATTTTTAAGATATATAAATTAAAATTCATAAAATTCACACACAACAAACACAAAGAGAGAGATGCATACATGCATACACACAAATATGTATATATATATATATATATAAACTTATTTTACCTGTATGAACAATAGAAAATGCTGCTGTCTGATGATGTATTTTTCTGTTAGTAGTCTGATTAATTTTTTCTTTTTTCTCAACAATAATATGTACAGATATACTTTCTTTAGGTTTTTCTTCTAGTTCTATTTTATCTTGGGATTTTGAAGAAAATAATTCACAATTTAATTCTTTTACCAAAGCATTGCTACTAAGAGAGGTTGGTGGAGTGGATGTGTAAACACTCATACTTGGATGTTCTATTAAAAGGTTTTCTAAAGGAGACATTTCAACTTGAATTGGTCCACCTGCTGTAAAACAGGGTGGTGGTGTAACATACCAGCTCCCCTCCATTTGAGAAGGACTTCTAGGAGGACTAGGAAATGCTTTATGATCTGGTAAATGAACTGTAAGGACAGATAATGAATTGGGTAATATAGATGGTGAAGCAATCATTGTAAAGTCTGTTGTGTTTTCTTTCTGTTTCTTTTCCTTTGGCTCTTTTTCTGAAATTTTTCATTAAAACAAAATTAGATTTTAAATATATTTTATACATTGGTCTAAAATTTTGATACTAATATATAATAGAAACATGTTTTTCTTTACAGAAATATGATCTACAGTATATTTTTTAAATCAATGTTTCTACAAGTTAACTCGCTCATCATTTCCATTTTCAAGTTTAAATAGTTCATACATAACTTATTAGTATTCAGACTTTAGACAGTTCATTTTAATAGAACACATTAAAAAAAAAGGAGAATTTATAATCATATTCTATTATTATTCTATGCCAGTTATTCTCAACTTTTTTGAGCAAGTGGAGCACAAAATTTTTCATGGCACACCAATGAGCCAGTGTCATATCAAAGATGATTCTTATTTGTATAAATTAAAACGTTAAAGCCATATACTTTTTCAATAAGAAAAAATATACAAATAATATTAAAAAGCAGAAAAACAATTAGCATTTTAAAATTATTGTTTGAAATTATAGGGTACCACTATGAGAAGTTTTCAGCACACTAGAGTCCTCAGAGAGGTTCTATAAAATTTTAGGAATACAGGATGAGAACAACTGTTTTATGCTATAATATAATAATAAAAAATTACACATAATGTAAGATTATACAGATTGCTGTTTTGAAGATATTATTTCAATTAACAACACTGGTCCATTTTTTGCTGATCTAAGAAGGAAACATTTAATTTTTAATACAGAAGAAATTATATAATTATTTAATTTGATTTTGAGTGAAGCAACAATAATATTAATGTTATCATCTATTTCCAAAGTATTTAATATCTTAATTGATTTTAAGATTATTACTCTAATGAAAGATGAAAATGACAATTTATTTGATGAAATCCTTAATATACTCATACACTTTGATTCCTGTTAACTGCATAAGGTATCAAAGTAACAAAAAGGAACAGCTTGTGATATGACTGTGTATGCCGTTCTTATCTTACTTGTTATTGATTAATTTTAGTAACATAATATATACTAAAAAATAAAAAAAATAAGCTTTCTTTCCTTTGTAAATTTAAATTATCTTATTTACTTAAATACACTTATTGCTTTTTATCCAAATTTATGTCTATTTATGCCCTTTTTTATTTATTTAAAATCATGGTTTTAATAATGGCAGAAATGTATTTCCATTTTATGTATGTAACTGATTTCATTTCATAGAAGGTCTCAATCTTTTTACAATGTGGCTATATATAAAATTTTTCAACAATAAATTATAAATAAATTTTCTTCTAAATAAAATGTTATTTAAATCATTTTTTAAAATATAGTGTTAAACTATATTTAAAAAAAATGGATTTTAGTTTTGAAACAGGAATTTTTTAAGAAGAATAAAGTAAAATATATATGTATTTAGAATATTTATAAAATATTAACATCCTGTTTCAAAAAATTTTCCTTTAAATCCATAATTTTATTTTTATAATTTTCTGTGAATTATAATCTATAAGTTGAAAAATATTGCTTTTTACAAATTCTCTTCTCCCTTGTAAAATCTATTGCTATATCAATTAATAAAGTTATTATTATATTCTCTTCTCATTAGATTACATAGTTTCAGACAATGTCTCTTTTAAAATATGAAAACCATTTATTAAAGAACTTTTTACATCTATTTGAAATTTGAAAGTTTTGAATAAATTACAACTTTCTTCTAAAAGGAACCAGCTTTATTAGTTTATTAATAAATAATAAACTAATAAAGCTGGTTCCTTTTAGAAGAAAGTTGTAGTCTATGTAAAATCCAAGAATATTTGGTTTTAAATCTCCATAAATCAGTAAAGACAGAGAAGGATATTTTCTCATTATTTTAAGAAGTTTTTAAGATTTTAAACCTTTACTTTTTTAAAATATAATCTTTTAACTTAGTATAAAGTTTCTCATTCCCTACAATATAATATTCAGCTTATTAATTTGCAAATTGAATACCAGTAATCAATATTTAAATTCAACATTTTGTCATCTGACAGATTAAAATATTAAATTAAGTATTATTAATTAGAAATTGCATAAACAGATAGAAATATATATTAATTAACAAATACTAATTTATCAATGCTTTCAATGCTAAATGAGACATTATATGACAATTATGTTTTTATGCAACATAACTAAATTAATTAATTTTTATTAAAAAACTTCTAAATATTATTATTATTATTATTATTATTAATTAAACCATGAATCAATATTAAATTAATACTGTAGAGGTTTATATATATTATAATATAAGATGTATATTTTAACATTAAAAAAAATTGAAATATGTTTCTGATTATTATTATCATATTCAGTTTTTAAATACATTTTTCTTGAAATTTCATAATCAAATTTAATTATAATGATATGCTATTTTTGAATATAAAGTTATTAAAGTCTATTGTACTTCATTTCATATACAATTATAAGTAAAATATGTACACAGAATAAATTTATTTTTTTTAACTTTTTATATTATTTTAAAATATTGAGAAGAATTTTAAAATTTACATATGAACTTTGACATTTTTAAATTCTTGTTACATTGTATTTTTTTTAATACAGTAAGTCTTTGATTTAATGGACTAATTGGGGGAAGAGATGTCCACTATTGCCTAAAGTCTATTAAATTGAATGTGTTTTAAAAACATATATTAAAAACAAACTGAACAGGATGTATTAAAATATTATTATAATGTATAAGTATGAATAAAATATAATGTCAATGAGTAATCTATGCTCATTGAGTCATCTTTTAGTATGTTCTGTCCATAAATGAAAAAAGATTATAAATTTTTCCTTTATGTTAAAAATATTTTTGTTTGTTAAATCAAGATTCATTAAATCAATAGTCTATTGTATTTTTTTTTAGAAAAGCATGCACCTTAATGTTTAAAAGATGATAATTTTTTACATAAACTGACAGCAAATAATTCTAGTAATATTGCCATATTATTCACAAAATATATTTCAAAAAATTATTTTAGAGAATTTTCAAATTTACAACTTATTAATATATAATTTTTTTATATGTGGATCAGTTTAGATTTATTTATCTTACTTTGATCAAGTAAGATAAATAAGTTTTATTGCACTTGCAATTCCTGGTATCATTGTAAGTGCAATAAAAAAGTTTCTATGTAATCTTATTTTTCTTATCTGATAGATTTGAGACCCAATGATAAGCAACTTTCCTGTATCATAAAATTCAAATACAAATCATTATATCCATTCATTAGATTGGAGCTTTCTATAGTCTCTGTGACTGGCTCATACAGAAGGTTACAAATCCAGCATACCATCAATAAATTCTCAAATGATGTGTTACACATCCAGTTTATTCTAAAAGACAACATCTACCTACAAAAAAGAGGTGGTCCCATGGATGGCCCTTTATCTATAGCCTATGCAAAATGGTGATTCAACTCTTGGAAGCCAAAGTTTTATCAAAATTCCTCCAGCACATCTACATATATAAAAGATATATTGATGATATTTGTATGCTGTAGTTTGGAAAACTAAACCTAACATACATGAATTCCCACAGTCTTTGAACAACAACCCATACAGCCTGCTTTACAATTAGACCAAATGAACAACATCAACATCCACTTTTTAAATATTTCAATTTATTTCAATGACAAAGGCTTCAATATGAAGCCTTTGTCATTGAAATGTTAACAGGCATACTTCAGTTAATGTTTCCTCTAGTAATAAAGTCTCAATATAATGAAGTCTGCAATTTCCCCATTTAACATAAAAATATTAAAATTTCATGGTCAACACAGAAATCATCTGATTGCCTAATGATGGTGACTTGTCACTAGTGTTGCCATCAGGCCAGTTTTCACCCAGACAAGCCAATTTTTAAATCCATGATCCAGACTTTAACTTCACACCCCCACCCAAACTTATTCCCATCTTATCCCTAGGCTAAGTGTGACAGAAAATGTACTTTTAAAATTCTAACTTGCAAATATCTCTGACACATTAGGTTTGTTCCAACACAAGTCCCTAATTGGTTTAAAACTGGCATGTTCATTGTTCAGTTCTTGGCTGTAAAATGACATTGCACTTGCCTCATATTTATATTATATATTGTATCAGATACAATGTTTCTTTTGTAACTTAATATTATTAATGTCAATATGTGTTATTATTTATTATTCTTACTTTTATGTATTATTTTTGCAATTAATATAGACATCGGACTGTTGTTAATTATTTTTGGATATGTCACATATGATTATTGTATTACTTTAATGTCATGAACATTTTTACCTTCTAATAAAAAAATATATTTATTTATTTTCTAAGTATAACATCCTAATTTTAAAATGTCCAGGTCAGCAATTTTGAAAAGGTGGCAACACTGCTTATCACATACTCCAAGTTTTAAGTGTGCTTAACCAAGGACAATATACTACAAGGATAGCCAGATCCCTATTCTACAATGTTAGCCAGGAATGGCAAGTTAGTGACGTCACACGTGTCCTGACCTCTTTGTTTACCTAGAGCAGGNCAGTAGTTTACATTTAGTAGTAATTTAATAATTAATTAAGAAATGATTTAATATTTTATCGTATTTTGTTATTTGAAAGGTCTGTGATGTTGAAGTAGAAGACTTGCTGTGACGTCACATAGATCCAAGGTCATGCTAACAAATATACGGGATCTGGCCATCCTTGTAGTTTAAAGTCCTTGGTGCTTAACAGTTTTGCACATCATTGGAGTAATTTAGTCAGTAGTGTAGTAATGGGGCAGCACTTTTTAGGGGGCAGAAAAATTTCACAAGAAATAATAATAATATTTTGTAAAAACTTGAACCTTTTCATCACATATTTTCGTCGCACCTACGATTCGGAGCAATTGAAATGAGCATGAAAAGTGCTATCATCCGGACAGTCCAGGGATTTTGTGCACAACCTGTTGTTGACCTTCTTTTTTTTTTTTTTGCTTGTATGAATCATTTGTATTCATATAGACCTCCAA